TTCAGGACAACATGGTGCGCCTTTTGGTCCTCCTTCGGTCCATGGCTGCCACATTTCATTTGCCTTATATATGAAATATGGTGGCAAAAGAATCCCGGTTGCAGAACCACAAAACATAATAGATGTAGCTGATTTAGAATGATTTTGTACACGTTCAGGATATTTTATTCCACGTTGAAAAATAAGTTTTTTTTTTCCTGGATTATCTTGTAAATTTGTTTCGTCATAATTATAAATATTTTGAGGTGGTACATGTTCAATTACTTGTTGCAAATTATCAAAATATTCTGAAATACATTGGGGAGAGACTTCTGCACGACATCTGGCAATATTGGTTGCTACACGTTGACAAACTATATTATTATATCTCTTTAACAAACTACGTGCCCAATCTATACCAGGAAGATTTTTTGAAAATGATTCAACCACAATGCCTTTTCTATCTAAATAAGATTTTGCAATGACTCTGTAAAAATATACTACTAGTTAGTTGACTAAGCAACACAAATCTTAAAATGTAAACACTAACCTAAGATCCATTAGCGTAAGTGGGAAGCCCCATTTTCCACACTTCATGGCAGCTGTAAGAAAAGACATTTCTTCTTGTTCACTAAATATTGTTGGATGCCCACACTTATTTCCATGCTTGCCATTGAACCTATTATGTAATGTTCCATAGGAAATTTTATAGGCCTTACTAGCAGCTAATATTGAAATCTCGCCATTGGCAATTTTATCGAGTGCTTCATCTAAAATCTCATCTGAGTAATTTTTATAAGACCGAGCACCAATTTTTTTTCTATATTTGCGAGCCACTAAAATATATAATGAAATATTATACCTAGTGAAATGTATGTATAAAAGTTATCAAAGTTGCCCTCTATGATATATCAAAGTAGCCCCAGGTCAAAATCTTATATGCAGTTCATTAAATTCAAAATGGAATTAAATTTTGATAAATGTGTTTCAGTCTTTATTATATTAACATGCTATTTACATGATTTAAAAAATGGTATATAAAAGTGTACTTACTTTGCGCAGATCTTATATAACAACAAAAAAAACGTGTAAGTTAATAACTAAACGAATCAACAACGAAAACTAAACAATCATCGATAAGAACGTGTTATCAACAACATATTTGGGTTCTATACCAGTTGTACAGTGTCATTGTATACCTTTCGGAATCCAGTCGATCAATTATTGAGAATTCTTTATGAGAATATATTTTTAGAAAATTGACTGAATCCAAAATAGAAGATTGATGATAGCTCCTTTAAGAATGTTTAAGAAAAATCTGAAATAAAAATAAATAATAATAAATGTATTAGGTGTACAATATAACGCCATAGGCATATAAATAAAAAAGCATGCAATAAGTGCGTATTGCAACTACCTCCTTAGCATTTTTTCACTCATTTAAGGCTTTAATTACAAGCTGTCCTAATGGCCGACTATTGATTCCACCAGTTTTAGTAAAAATAACGCAATGTTTGCAGAAAGCTCCATTTTTAAATTCAGAATATGACAGCCAATTATACTCTGTAAGCTACTTATACTGAAACCTCAAGCCACGTTATTTTGTTTTTTCATTTATAGGAAATTTATAGTTGGATGGAGGAACCCACACGTTAATTAGAATCTAAAATAAATTGTTGTTTATATAGTTATACAATTTTTGATATAAAATTATTATTCTTGCAAGATTTTTATCTTCATCAGAAATTAAATTTCTTTGTATAAATAAACCTATATAATTTTTGTAATATTGTTGCATGTTCAAGGATTCTTCAATTTTTTATATAAAAACACATAAGGCAATAAACATATATATGTCGCATCCATATCGCGTTATTGTACTTTTCGCGAAATGGACAACGTTTGCATCCATTTCACGAAATGAAACCGCGGTTTCTCCACTTCACGTAATTACACAATATGGATAATATTTCGTGAAATGGATACCTAAACTATCGTCAACGGAACTTGTTCCGTCATTTGAATGTCCATATAGCAAAACTTAAAAAAACTTTTATTTTTATATATTATATTTATTCCTAAAAGCTTAATTAAATTATTAGTTTTAAGTAAATGTTTTACAAATAGTTACTTTAATATAAACTATTATGTTTACCGTCATTTGGATGTCCATATATAGCTGTTTGCTTGGAGTGACAATAATTCTTATCTAATCTATCATAAACGACAGTCACAATATTGCGTTAAAATATTTTCTATTTTATAAGCATTTTTATCGATCGATAATCGTTAAAAATTCGACCCATCAATGCATACTAGTTTTCATTTTGGTAAGACCGTTCATACGTGTTTGCAAAGTGTGTATAAAAAAGTAAAATAATGCATAATATTTTTTCCTTTTATATACTCTGTTAGTAAATAAATAAAATCATGTCGTTTGACGAAAAAAATGAGTTTTATAAAAAACTTGATGTATATTATAATAATAAACCACACAGCATCGACGAAATAAATTCAATGATACAAAATTTAGTAAAAGCCAAATTAAATAAGTAAGTTATTTAATTAATTTAATCTAATTCGACAGAAATAGATTATTGTACTTCGTAATAAATATTATGCATATTTCTTTTTGCAAAACATTTAAATTTAAAAATAATAAATTATATATTTTACAATTAGAAATAAGAAAACGAGGCATGAATACTATCTTTTAGAAAAATTTGATGTTTTGAATATCGTTGAAAAACAATACTTGATTAGCAAACAAAAGGACAGAAACAATGGGGAAATTAAGTAAATATATAAAAAATATACGTCATAGTTATACGCCTAGTGAAGTACATTATTTTTTTGAATAATGATTATTAGGTAATAATTATTTTAAAAACTTTAAGGGTGTTGGAGGTGTTTTTTAGTACAAAATCATGTCTTACAGGATAAACTCTCATCTTTGTAGAATAGTCAGATTTCGTTAATTTTTTTTTTTTAATAATACTTTGTGAATTCAGTGAATTTTTATATTTTAGATATATAGTAAGTAGTTGCTTATGAAGAATTGTATGAAAGGATAAATGAATATCATATTCGAACTGGTCATAGGAGAAATGTCAAGTTGCGAATGGCTGTAGCCAAAAAGTACAATATTCCAAGACCCGCGATTGAAATAGTTTTATCAACATGTGCTATATGTAATTGTAAAAAAACATCAACCGTAAGTTGGTCATAAAACCAATTATCAGTAAAGATTTAATGAAAGAGGACAAGTAGATCTGGTAGATTTTCAGTCAGTTCCTGATGGAAAATTCAAATGGATACTGAATTACCAAGATCATAGTACTAAATTCTTATCTTTACGTTCTCTCGAGTCTAAACGCGCATCTGAAGTAGCTAATAATTTATTATCAATTTTTCTTACGTTTGGCGCACCAAAAATACTGCAGAACGATAACGGTAGGGAATTTGTTAATTCTATTATTATTGAATTGAAAGAACTTTGGCCAGATTGCGTTATTGTTCACGGTCGACCTAGACACCCGCAGAGCCAGGAAAGTATTGAGAGAAGCAACCAGGACATAGAAAATATGTTAAGAGCTTGGATGAAAGATAATAAAACAAAGAAATGGTCAATTGAACTACAATTTGTTCAATTTCAAAAAAATAGTTCTCATCATCGTGTGATTGGTAGGTCACCGTATAAGGCTTTTAGAATGATCCAAAAGTTGGATTAGCAACATCCAGTTTACCAATAGAAATTTTACAAAAATTGGTAACGGCAGAAGACTTAGAAGAAATCTACAAAGAAGATATTCAAAGTGAGATCGAAAAAATAACTGTTCAATGTAATATTTGCGGAACAGAATTTCGTATGGAAACGGACTCCGCCGAAGCAATTTTATGTAATTTATGTGAGAAGAATATGAAAATTAAGGAAGCACGTCATCTAGGAGCTATAGGAATAGAAAAGCAAGCCGAAAAAATGTTACAAGTAAAATCATTTTGGTTTTTATAATTACTTAAAATAATTTATTATTTCATTATGCTATAGGATAGTAAGATCAAAATACCAACATTTAAAGTTGGAGACTGTATTGTAATCTCGGTTCCGAAGGTAGATAGAGGTCCTACAGATCCTGCTAACATTATTGGCGTTGTTCGCGCAAGTTATCGAGTGCGATAACTCTAAATAGATTTTATTGCCGCCCTAATCGCGACTCCTCTCCTCTGGGGTCGATGGCCCTATTATATGCTATTCTGAAATCGATTGCCCGACAGTAAAAACGGATTAGTAGGTCAACGGCCCTCACAATCACATATCTTTACGGAATTATAACAGCCGTAAAGATTACGTACAGATATTGCCCTATCTCAGGTGATATAGGGTCATTAGCCACTAATTTCGGATAGCGTATTTTTTTTGGTGTTGTCGGAGACACCGGCATGAAGAATAGTAACTCCTCCGTGCGACGCCTTCGTGGTAACAAGTCGTCGGCACGTTGCCGCCTCAGACCGTCTTGTGAACTTCGTCAAAGTGTCCAAGTGTGCGCCCGCTTTAGATTTTTAGATTTTTACCTTCGCCTAGGTCGGTTTTCTTGTATGTTGCATTTGTGTTTGTAAATCAAAACGGTTACACCTCTCGCGATCTCCGCACTTCGCTAAACTTAAATATATATATATATATATACACTGTCTTGCGGTCTTCGTTTAGAATTGAGGCCTTGTCGTTCCGATCGTCGCTAAATTAATATAACGTTACAACGCGACTTCCGTTGCGTACCGATCGGTCGATGTGTGTGAATTGCAAGTGTTGTCTACTATCAGCTTATTATCATTATTTTGGTTGCCTGTCGTTATATATATATGATATGTAATTCAATTTTTGTTTGTTATGTACAACAAAAAGATATGTTATGTTTATATATACATAACATAATATAATAGGTGTTGGTAATAGAGTTAATCATTTTCAATATAATGGGTTTGTTTATAAGTGTAAAATAATAATAATATGTGTATAATATGTATTTGCTAAATATATGCATAATATACATACACACATTTATGTATATTTAAATATATTACTCGAAAGCCGCTGCAAATGGATTGATTTGCCGTAACAGATTGTCTAAGTCTGTAATCAAGTTCTCCAATAGCGGGTGTTGGCGTGGCTGTTGTGCCATTCGAACCCGGTTGGCTTCCCAAGATACGATAAAGTACAGCTCACAGTAACTCGGTCGCAACATTTCATTTCTGACAATGTCGTTACTAATCCTGCGATACACTTGCCCATGAACAGTGAACACTTTTGGTCCCCGACCTGGCAAACGTCTTGGGTTGAGGTCAGTGAAAAACGCAGCAAACCCCAAAGTGTTGTTGTTTTGTCTGATTTCTTTTCTAAAGTGCCTGGCTACCTGTGAATCATCTATTAACAAACGAATTAATAACTCTGGAGGTTGACCCAACACACGGTCACCCGTTATAGCCATTTGACCATTATTGCAACACGTTGAAAAATGAGACCTTCCAATCTTCTCACAGTGGAAATAACGGCCACCACAGTGATCGCAGACGGCATCCAATGGTCCTATGTTGTGTTGTTCGGGAAGTTGGTGTTGAATGCCAGCCGGACGGTCTCTTACGGCCACATGTGCTCTGGGAGCATTTAGGGGAATTGGTACAAACTGTAGTTTAAACATCAAAGTTGTAAAAAA